TAACTTATTGTGTAGCCAGACCACTACAATACACCGCTGCCGTCGCGCGCTCAGTAGTTCCTAATAGCGTGTGACGCATTGTTTTTGACTCTCCTGCACGCCCAGTCAGGTCATAATGTCCGTGAGTCCAACCATCGGTCACTCAAAGATTTGTTGTGTCAAACAACTTTCGCGCGGTTCGTCAGTGAAGCAGACGTTTTTTAGCCTACCGATTCCATGCAAATTACTCTGAAGCACACGGTAAGCGCTGATAGAACATTCGAACCCTCGAAATCAGGTTTGGTTACATCAAATTTGCTATTGCATGACCCATACCACTCAGCAGCACAAATGGCGTCGTTCTCGAAAGAACTAATAAGGTGATTTATAGCGTCCAGGTTGGACCACCGATATGGAAACGGCATGTCAATCAGCTACATCCAACTGAACGCCCTACCCCAAACGCAACCTCTTGCTCGGAACCCTCCGCCACAGCTTCAGCTTCATATTTCAAAAACAAATCGGGTGCCGCAACCGAGACTCTGTACCGGCTGCGCCAGAAGACTGGCTGAACCTCTTCAACCCAGCCCATGCCGAACATTCCATGTTGTCGGAAAAGTCAGACAGGTAAAAACAACCCTCCGGGTGCCAAAAACCTACCAAGACTCTGAAAATCCAGCAAGATCCTAATAAAGAAGCCGGTAAGCATCCAGGCCAGTCAATCACTCAGTTTATTCGGCGAAAGTCGAGGAGTGTTCAAATACGCCACAGAAGCACGGTCGACTATGAAAACTGCTCAGGCACCTCCTAGAGGCAAATTCCACGTTGCTGGCTTCCGCCAGACGCCGATCAGGTAGCCCGGATCAATGTCGAAAGGTACCCTTTAAATAGCTCGGGGCCGTTGTAACATTTGCGCTGGCATACACTCGATTGTTCACAATAAAGCTTTTGTGTTCCTTGTCGGCGAGTCTCATCTCAGGCACTAGGCACCAGAACCTAACCTCAGTTTTGATAAAAATGTGTAGCAAATTCCAAAATTTTCCCGGTTCCCGTTCGCTTCCTTCAATATCCTCTCTTATGCATGAAAACAGTGAAGAAGGAATCTGAAGAACATCTCACTTATGCCTTAGAGTCAGTTTTGAAAGTGAGCAACTCATGCTATCTACCGTGATGAAAACCAGCTAAATTGTGATAGTGTTTACTCCCTACTTGTGGGTCGCAAACCGTCAGGCATGATCATCAAAATAAAAGTAGGACTGGCAGGGATTGTGGGCACATAAGGGTTAGGAAATGGGGCAGCGTCGTTGGGGGTGGACAATATGCAATGTAGGTGGGGAGCACGGGCAAGGGAACATAGTTACTACGCGTTTTTTAGGAGAATATCGAACAGGATGGGATCGTAAGATTTAAAGGTGGCGGGTAAAAACAAAGCGAGAGAGGACAAAACAAAAGGCCTCCTTTCTGACACATAACAAGAAAGTTGTAACGGTAAAGAATGAGGAACCAGAACATCAGATCGGGTGAAGCAGCAGAATTAGCGTCATCCAGCCAGTTAAACTGAACTGAGACCTAAAGCCGCCACTGAGGCTTCGTGGCCTTGGACTGTTATGTTCATGGCCATAATCACAAAACGTGTAAGTAGGGATGATGAAGTGGGGGATTATTAAAGCGGATGTGTTAATACGAATCACAGAAACATTATGTAGGGCGAAACTGTAGAGACTGATCGGTGTCGCCATCGTGGAGTCGGGCACGATTCCTTGGAAAAGTAAGACGATGGGAAGTGGTCAAATTCGAACGAAAAATTCATCAGATTGGAATGAAATGTCCTGGAGGCGGCTGTAGTCATTTGAGGATCTTACTCATATTTTCAGTTAATGGAACGAGTGGGCTAGAGGGTGCTGTCGAGAGGGAAGGGAACAGTTGCGTGTGTTCCATCGAACTGGATTTGGCAGTTCCGTGTCATCAATAGCCTGGCGTACTTCGGTTTTTGGACAACTCCATAAAGGACGTCAGTCAAAATTTGGCTGGGTTGGGCGATTGTTTGGGTGGCGGGATTCTCTTCAAGCTGACCGCGGATACAAGGTAGAGCGAGAGAGATATAAGATTGAGGGGTTTTTGTCCGTTTGGAGATCCTGTGGTTGTAGATCATAGGCCAGATGGAGCGGATAACAGCCAACCAGTCAAAACCGGGTTTTGCCGAATTTCAAAGCTTGGGAAGCTGAGGGGATGGGATGAGATTGGTAAAGTATGGTTAGTTTGAGGAGACGTCAAATGGAATAATGTGAATTAGTACACATAGGAAGAAAAACTTGACGTCTACCGCGATTGGGATGATGCCAACAAGTGATTATGCAGAATGAGACTGGGGACCAAGGGTTGGGTTTGCTAACATACGATATTGAAGTACAAGGGATCTAGTACCAATATAAGACGCACAGTAGTCAGGGAATCAGATGTATAAGGGCTGATGTGAGTGAAATTCCGAGATGATGGACTGGTTAATCTGGCATTTATTACATGACTCGGATAGTACCAAGAGAGAAGGTAAGTGTAAGAAAAATAGTCACCGGTTTCCGAAGTACTGCTATGGGCTTGAAGTGAACGAGTGGCTGAGGAAGAATAAAGGCCTTCGGGCACTAGTCTTGAATTCTGGTGGCGGGGGGTTGGGGACCTCTGTATAAATATATTTCTTATTGTATGTGTTCACTTCTGGGAGTAGTGGGAAGGTGTTTCGTTTGGTTGACTTGGTCGGGTTTGGTACGGTGCAACCACAATGACAAAAGCAATTACAGCTCCGCACCTCGATGTGGACCAAGGGCATCATAGAGTCTCCAGGCTATTTCATCTGTTTTTTGCGAATTTTTTTTGTAACAGACAGGAAGCCAGTTTCTTTTTGCATTTTTTCATCGTCCGTTGCTATGGCTTTGCCATTTAAATGACACAGCCGGGACGAGTCCAGCCAAGCAGCAACAAACAGAAAACAATTGTGCTCTTTCGTTGGTTTTCTGAATTAAAGGGCATGCTCAGAACCATCGGTGATGGGCGAAGCAACTGTGCAACTTAAGAGGTGGTGGCCATACGAACGCACTATGTAGCAACGCAACATGTGTCCTTCGGTCGCACTCAGACGGATATTAGAACGGATCAATAAACAAGGTTGAACAACCTTCCGAAACAACGCTGAGGTCCATTACTCATGATTGCCAATGTCTCCTGCGTATTAAAACTAACGCAGCCAAGTTGGAGCGATCATTATCCTACTCTGCTTTTGATATTGCTAAGATAACATGATATAAAAGTTTTTTCGAACTGGACACCTTCATGCTGGTACAATGAGAACAAACACACCACTGGCGAATTTTCCAGTACCGAAGGTTGCACGAAAAAGGAGAGTATCATAAACAGTGGGCGCTATTCGATGTAGATCTGGTCATGCCCTAACCGGCGTTGGCAAGGAAACACAACTA